AGGGGGAGGACAAGTGTCCCTCAGGTGTCCTAAGCGGTCGAGGTCACAGTTCCTAAACACCACTTGAGAAACATGTCACGAGAACAAGAGAGAATTGGCGGTAATGCGCCCAGTACAGCGCCACGATGGCGGGAACCTCTGAGTCTGGCGTGGGACTGTGGTGTTGTTATTATTGTGTCTATATTAACTGTTACTGTTATGTGTTGATAGTTACTGTTATTGTTGTGTCTATATTAACTGTTACTGTTATGTGTTGATAGTTACTGTTATTGTTGTGTTAACATTGACTTATTGTGTGTTTATATTAACTGTTACTGTTGTATTGTTGTGTGTTGATACTAACTGTTACTGTTACAGTGTACTGCCTTAATATTAACTGATATTGTTGTGCAGTTATTGCACCGTGTTAATATTAACTTTGATATGAACTTACGTATACTGATATTAACATTCTGCTTTTTTCAGAAACCTAGTAATTAGCATTATTATAATCTGAAGCGACTGGTATCAACGTCAGCATAAGTAAGGTATCAACGTCAGCATAAGTAAGGGCAGACTTTACACGTTATCGCTGCTTATTACTGTAATGTCGTCACTAGCGTCCGCACTGACCCCCAGTCTTGCGATTGTGTTTAATAGGGAATAACGGGTGTTTATCTCGGATCAATTCATGTAGAGTGACTTATTTAAAACGTGTCAGCTCAGGTTTCAACGTCGTTTAAGTGTCCGTAAAAAAAAAAAAAAAAAATAAGCGAAATTAGTGACATGGGGTGTCGACCGTAATAACTTAAGCAGTTGACGGCCAGCAAACCCAAAGAAACAAACAAGTGCTATGGAAGCTTATGAAACGATTCAGACAAACAGGCTATTTCGACGTAAAAAAAAAAACACGAACGTCTGTCAGCTGTTGTTACAACAGAAATTGCAGAAAGTGCGACAAAAATTAGAAAGAAAGGCCAAAAAAGCCTGAGACGACTATCACAAGTTCACTGTTCTTAATATAATGCCAGGAAATCGGACAAAAATTTAAACATCCGTAATTATCTTCTGGGAAACTGCAACCCAAAAAAACACATAATTCACGAGTTCTTGTGGCATCTTAAAATTGAAGGAGGATGATTTCAAAAGGATAGTGTCACGAGCTACACATCTAGCTACAATCTGAATGAGGTGCAGCTGCTCTGGTGACCGTATTGAATCAAAGTCTTTTCTTTAAAGATATTTAAGGGACAAAGTCTATGTTACAAATACAGGTACTTTCGACGAATTAAAAACAAGAGGCACCAATGTCATCAAGTGTTCCTCAAGTAATGTTGGTCTGTATCGGAAAGTATGTTGAGACGAACGAATTTGTGTATTCAGCATGTTTGTTGGGGGGCTCTTTCGGTTCTTTATTCAAGGTAATCATTTAAACAATTTGATGTAAATTTACTTTTAACTTTAGACTCTACTCACAACACTTTAGGTTTCTGTCTTGATACATGTTCCAAGATAACTATTTTCAGGATATATTTAAAATTAACATTGTATCCACAGTTGTCTTTGTTGTGCGTTCGTATTCACCGTTATATTGTTGTTATTATGCTAATGTGTTTTTGAAAATACGACATTCATTACAGTTACAGAACCTCAAGTGGTATTGAGGAAGGTGAGATAGGCTGGGGAGTTGGCTGCAGCTTGTACCTACTAGTGTCCACAGGACCAGCCAGACGACGCGAGGCCACGGAAATAATCAGGTTAGTCCACGACAACTTAGCCTAACCTACACGGCTTTACTTATTTTTGTGTGTTTATTTATATATATATATATATATATATATATATATATATATATATATATATATATATATATATATATAATTATAATAGATTACGGACAAAATACAACCTTCGAAAAACTCTTCAATTGGCGGGGAATGGTTGAATTTTCTCCTTTAAAAAATTGTCCGGTGGGAAATCCTTTGTTGGGATTTCGACCGTATTGTGTAATTCAATAACTCTAGTGGATAAAATTGTCTGGCGGGATTTTGTCTGCACATCCATTAAAAACTATTTGAAACTCTCGCATGCTAAAACGTTCCGTATAAGAAATATTATCTACGAATTTAAGGAAAATATATACAACCTGTCTTAAAGGCTATTGTAAACTTTATATTGGGGCTGAAATTGTTTATCGAGGATATTAGCTATGCTATTCTATATTCTAATCAACGTTAATTAAAGCTAAACTATAGCAAACATGGAATCCGGATGAAAATTATTTGTTACCAACACACCTGTTTCTGTCTTTGAAAGGGTATGGTCAAGACCATGTTAAGTACTGTAAAATTAACCTTTTCCCATTTGCGCTCGTGTTTTGGGAGAATATAATTTATTAATTAAGTGAATATGGAATATATTTAATCTTTATTTACTACCTCGCCCCATACTAGATTCTGCGAGGCAGGTGCATATTGGTATTAGTGGGTATGCATACCTCAGTTGTGATCCAGACGGCATGTTAAAGATTAAGCAGGATGCTTTCCAGGTTCCTTGAGTCATGAACAATTGATCTCGAAGGGGGCAAAGAAATCCCTTGGGGTCCCCCAAGGGGCCCTCCTGGGGCCCCAGGAGGGCCCGAGAGAAACAGTTATAACTTTTTTAAATTTTGTCTGATTCGGACATTCGACCTTCTGAGGATAGGTATTGGAAAGACAAATGTAAAATAATAGAGGATGTTTTCAAACATAGCTGCCGTGCTGACATTTTAGCCGAATTTATATTTTGGGGGCCATTTTCCAATGGTTTTTCTTGAAAAACTGTGTTTCGGCATCAATATTAATAATAAAATTGTAAAGCAACATCCCCTCCTCACCCTACCACCATAACCATCACTTGCTCCAACTTGACAACAGAAGAAACTGCTTCACGAAGCTACTCGACCCCAGTGAGCACCGTTTCAGAACCAGTTTCCCATTCGACTATGAGACCAGTTTCCCGTCTGACTATGAGACCGAGGCATCGAGGCAAGTTGTGTATGCCTGGTAAGCTGAGGCTCTACTCTGTGGCCTACGGGGTGACCGGATAAAACCCCAACGGACAAAACCCCAGTCTCATATATAAAATATAAAATAAAACACTTTTATGTTTAGGTTAGGTTAGGTTAGTTTTGTCCGTTGGGGTTTTGTCATGGAACCGGCCTACGGTGTTCCTCTTCTCCAGGGGTGTGGACGACGAATTGTATTAATAACTACTGCTGGTGGTGTTGTGATGGATTCAGGGCAGTGGACTACGGCGTTAATCCCTGGTTCCTTGTGGTTGGCCATCGCAACCTAGACTTGCTACCTGAGCTGCCAATTCTATCAGGTTTTTGTGTTGTTGTATATACCTGTAGTACGTGTATTTAATGTTTAAAGTAAGAATAATTGGGTAACATTCTGGTGTGTTTTGGTAGATGCATAGTTGTTACATTTTTATTTTGATAACTGCATATTTTGTTATACTTGTGTTATATAATGTACCTAATTAACTAACTTAATCAGCACTTAATATAAATTTTATTAAATTACTCAGTTTACATGATAATCTTCTTATCTCTTTCATAACTTAAATTTGTCTGTCACGAGCAGTGATTCTTGTGTGTGTGCTGCTTACTTGCTGCATCCACGTATTTCAACCCGCCTAGATTATTCACTCCGTAATTTTACTTGTCAACTTTGCCTTTCTCAACATTGTGGGTAGCAAGGAGGGACATCACAATATGCAGTTATGATTTTTCCTCTCGGGGTCTTTGGGGACCCTAAGGGATTTTTTATTTTTGTATTTTTTGCCCCCTTCGAGATCGATTATTCGTGACTCCAGTGACCTAGAAAATACACTAGTTAAACTTTAATACGCCGTCTGAATTAGAACCTGGTGTCCCCTGTACATACATACCAACTTTATGAACGTTCAAAGAAAACTGAATGCTTGAGAGGAAGACTTAAACATTTCTCCCTGTGCCCACAGAAGTTATCTGTTGACGTGTGTGATATTTTGTTTAAAAATATATGATTATCGTAAAATATGTAGATATTTTATTACTAGTTTTTAGGAATTTTACTAATGTTAAATTTGCAACTAAATCGTAAATACCATGTCTTTAGGTTATTCAGGATCACTGATTGCATCTTCATGCAACTTTGGAACTATACAATGGATGCTTCAGAGGGTACTAACAGTCATGTGTTGGTAACAGTGATGGTTAAAAAGGCATTAAAAAGTCCGGCTTGAGGCACCGAATTCCCAAGCAATTTTTGGGGGGTTCCTAAGATTGGCTTAATGCATTTCTCTAACATTAATAATAATAATAATTCAGGGGGTAACTACAGTATTTGATCGAAAACGCCAGACTCGAGCTTTACGAAAAAATAAGTAAAAAAAAACTGTTTAGAGGTCATGGAACTCGAGTGCTGAAAGACATCTTTAGAAACCCCCCAAATAGTCTCCCCCTCCTGGAGTCCTGGACCCAGATTCTCATAGATTCTTACAATATTGTTTTACTTGTAACTGGAGGACAGAACACAGCTGGCTACAGTAGTCTTGGAATAATTTCGATGTCGTTTTGGCTGCCATGTTTTGTCTTAAGTCAGCCAGTTATGTGTGTTCGTAAATTCTTTGTTACGTGAAAAACTTTACGTACGAATCTCTGAGACTGGGTCTTGGACGAGGTAGGATTTCAAATCTCAGAGTCGTAGGATGAATAATCCTCGTATGTGACGTAAATTACAAATGATTTATCAAAAATAACTTAGAAATTACACTGACTCGGCAATTAATTTAATCCCATTTAAAGGATAGATTAATGTCGGCAAGGAACGTATTTGGTTAAGGTATTGTTTCAGTGTATTTTTTTAAAACTAATTTAACCAGCTAGGTGCGCTTCTACAGTACATCTTCAATTGCGAGCACATTTCATCTAACGGACCTGTAAAAACCAAACCCTCGAGATGTTATGACAGTTCTTGTCCCCCAAGACTTACGGTGGTGGCGTCCGATGTTCCATCGTCGGGCTGGCTGCTGTTGCTAACGGCCATCTTCTGCTGTTCTTGTTCAGGATCCTGAATAAGGGCATTATCATTAGGAAGATTTAGTGTACATATGCAACCAGTAACCCAACCACACATTCAGACTCCTTCAAAAGAGAGCACTTGGCTACGGGTTTTATGTATACACACAAACACTTCATTGACTAGTTACTTGTCATAACTGGCCTTTTCGTCTGTAAATTGTAAAACAATAAGCTCTTGATTGTTGAAGCACTGCGGGCGGCATTTGCTTTGCCGTCCATTATAGCGGAAGGAACAAAGATCCAAGTGAACGTTTAACTCCTCAAAAAGCGTGTTTGTTATTCGGCATAAGAAATATGACTGGTTTGTGTGTATGGGGGCAGTTGTATGGTAATCACTTTTTACTGTCATGTATTGCATGGTTCTAGGGTACCGTGTTAAGGGGTTCGTGGGTTAAGGTTCAATTAACAGTGACGGCAATCGAATGGATACACCAGTGTGCTATATTTACACTGTCCCTGCCGGGCAGTCAGGTCTATGGGACTCTTTCACTTTTCACTAGTGACGAGGAGGTTGGTGTTGTTATGATGTTATAAGTGCGCTTCAACAGCTAAGGCCTTTAAGCGCGTAACTGAGTCATAAATTACACGATTCCATCAACAATTAAAAATTATGAGATTAAAAAAACTCTAGGTCCCTGTCGTATGGGTTCCTGGTGTGATCCCGGGCACCTTCAAGTTCGCCCAGTGGTATAAGTTACCTAACTTTGCAAGTGTGAAAATAAGGTATTGCTGTCTACACTGCTTCCTTTTGTACCAAGAGAAAGTTTAGTCTGCAGTGTGTTGTATTCGTACTGCCCATAACCGGAAGTTAGTCCTAAGGTTCCCAATTTCACTACTGATTAGAAATTTATCGAAGAATTTTGTTATTTCCAGGTCATGTGAAATCCCGAATTGGCGGAAGAAGTAATTTGTAAAGGTTCTGACGACATTTAGCTGATGGTGGAGTGAGTTCGTCATGTACTGTAACTGGCGACAACGGGTGGATCTTGTATTGTAGCCGGAGTGATGGTGACATAATATTATTAGTGTACGTGCGTTAGTGAGGCCTTATACTATGCTGTGAGTGTTTGAAGTGATTACGTTCATGAGTGACCAGTTAAATATTCTCAAGAACGCCCTGTCATTATCAGTCACCATGGATCAACTGATACAGCGTTCATGCACTTAGAAATTGTTGTTTGATAATGTCGAATATCGTTGAAAAAAATATCTTGCTCGTTCTAGATAGTGTTAACACGCATATTTGTTTTCATGAGTGTCAGAAATTATTTTGATTATTTCAATAGTGTCGATTTGGTAAATGAATGAACAAAAAATGGACTGCCGGAGGGAATTTTACTAAACATTTGGTTAAACCGCATATAATGAGGCCTTAGAATGACGAGAGACGGCAGGAGCACGTATGTGGTATAACCCCGCACACACACACACACACATTATATATATATATATATATATATATATATATATATATATATATATATATATATATATATATATATATATATATATATATATATATATATCATGTAGATCCACAATGAAAACGTGGATAAGATAATTCTTGATAAAATTACGCAGGGAAAGGGGAAACAATGGAGCACCTTAGCTTTCGTCTTTATTCAAGACAACTTCAGAGGCAACTGAATTACATGGACAGAGAGAGGCTTAAGGTCACCCTGTGTACTTAAGCTTCTCTCTGTCTATGTAATTCAGTTGCCTCTGAAGTTGTCTTGAATAAAGACGAAAGCTAAGGTGCTCCATTGTTTCCCCTTTCCCTGCGTAATTTTATCAAGATTTATCTTATCCACGTTTTCATTGTGGATCTACATGATATATATATATATATATATATATATATATATATATAGAACTTTCGCTGAAATAAAATTAAATATTATTTTGTACACTCAGAAGAATTCACAATAAACTTATTCGTGTAAACACAAGTAAGTACTGTAGACGTTTAGGAACACAGAGACACTGAGAATTCGTGTCAAGGGATTATAGTGGTAGAGCAGCCGTTCAAGGATCTGACCAGTGACCAAGTTATGTACAGTAAATGAACACAAAAGATACATTTTAGATGAAGGTGCTGGGGAAGGACGTTAAGCTGAGCAGTCGGTGTTGAATGCAAGAACTACTGTACACACCAAAGATCCATTCTTATTAGCAATACAGAGTTAAGTAGCATAACACGCCCATCATCTGATGTTACTTGTGAAAAAATAACACGAAATAAACATTCTAATTAGTAATGCAAGAAGAAGAAGAAGAAGACGAAGAAGACGAAGAAGAAGAAGAAGACATTAAGAGCATTTAACGCTCATCAGTCACTTTTAGCTGCAAAATACACACGCAATAGGTTTACAGTTCAACCTAACCTGCAATACAGCAAAAGGTTAAGTAGCTTGTCACGTCAGCCAACTGGTGTGAACTGGTGCTTAGGACTGAAAACACAACACGTGTAAGACTTCAGTGTGGACACAAGCGTGGAATCAGAGAACACGTGTGACATCAAGCGGTTCAAGTTGGTGACAACGTCTGACTTTCAGGATATAGTATAATCCGTCTTTTATAATATATTTATAAAAAGTAGTAGTGTGAGTTACCTTTATAGAAGAAAATACTAGTTTGTGTCTCCTGTAGAAGAAAGTACTAGTTTGTGTCTCCCTTGTAGAAGAAAGTACTAGTTTGTGTCTCCCTTGTAGAAGAAAGTACTAGTTTGTGTCACCCCTGTAGAAGGAAGTATTAGTTTGTGTCACCCTTGTAGAAGAAAGTATTAGTTTGTCTCTCCCTTGTAGAAGAAAGTACTAGTTTGTGTCACCCTTATTGAAGAAAGTACTAGTTTGTGTCACCCCTGTAGAAGGAAGTATTAGTGTGTCTCTCCCTTGTAGAAGAAAGTACTAGTTTGTGTCACCCCTGTAGAAGGAAGTATTAGTTTGTGTCATCCCTGTAGAAGGAAGTATTAGTTTGTCTCTCCCTTGTAGAAGAAAGTACTAGTTTGTCTCTCCCTTGTAGAAGAAAGTACTAGTTTGTGTCACCCTTGTAGAAGAAAGTACTAGTTTGTGTCACCCCTGTAGAAGAAAGTACTAGTTTGTGTCACCCTTGTAGAAGAAAGTACTAGTTTGTGTCACCCCTGTAGAAGAAAGTATTAGTTTGTCTCTCCCTTGTAGAAGAAAGTACTAGTTTGTCTCTCCCTTGTAGAAGAAAGTACTAGTTTGTGTCACCCCTGTAGAAGAAAGTATTAGTTTGTGTCACCCTTGTAGAAGAAAGTACTAGTTTGTGTCACCCCTGTAGAAGAAAGTACTAGTTTGTCTCTCCCTTGTAGAAGAAAGTACTAGTTTGTCTCTCCCTTGTAGAAGAAAGTACTAGTTTGTGTCACCCTTGTAGAAGAAAGTACTGTTTGTGTCACCCCTGTGAAAGAAAGTACTAGTTTGTGTCACCTTGTAGAAGAAAGTACTAGTTTTTGTCACCCCTGTAGAAGGAAGTATTAGTTTGTCTCTCCTTGTAGAAGAAGTACTAGTTTGTCTCCTTGTAGAAGAAAGTACTAGTTTGTGTCACCCTGTAGAAGAAAGTAATAGTTTATCACCCTTGTAGAAGAGTACTAGTTTGTGTCACCCTGTGAAGGAAGTATTAGTTTGTCTCTCCTTGTAGATAGAAAGTACTAGTTTGTCTCTCCCTTGTAGATAGAAAGTACTAGTTTGTGTCACCCCTGTAGAAGAAAGTACTAGTTTGTGTCACCTTGTAGAAGAAAGTACTAGTTTGTGTCACCCTTGTAGAAGAAAGTACTAGTTTGTCTCTCCTTGAAAGAAAGTATTAGTTTGTGTCACCCTTGTAGAAGAAAGTACTAGTTTGTCTCTCCTTGTAGAAGAAAGTACTAGTTTGTCTCTCCTTGTAGATGAAAGTACTAGTTTGTCTCTCCCTTGTAGAAGAAAGTACTAGTTTGTCTCTCCCTTGTAGATGAAAGTACTAGTTTGTCTCTCCCTTGTAGAAGAAAGTACTAGTTTGTCTCTCCCTTGTAGATGAAAGTACTAGTTTGTCTCTCCCTTGTAAAAGAAAGTACTAGTTTGTCTCTCCCCTGAAGAAGGAAGTACTAGTTTGTCTCTACCTTGTAGAAGAAAGTACTAGTTTGTGTCATATATAGAAGAAGTACTAGTTTGTCTCTCCCTTGTAGAAGAAAGTTCTAGTTTGTGTCACCCTTATGAAAGTACTAGTTTGTCTCTCCCTTGTAGAAGAAAGTACTAGTTTGTGTCCTTTATAGAAGAAGTACTAGTTTGTCTCTCCTTGTAGAAAGTACTAGTTTGTGTCACCCTTGTAGAAGGAAGTACTAGTTTGTCTCTCCTTGTAGAAGAAAGTACTAGTTTGTGTCACCTGTAGAAGGAAGTATTAGTTTGTGTCACCCTTAGAAGAAAATAATCGTTTGTGTCCCCTTGTAAAGAAAGTACTAGTTTGTCTCTCCCCTGTAGAAGGAAGTACTAGTTTGTTTCTCCCTTGAAGAAAGTACTAGTTTGTGTCACCCTTGTAGAAGGAAGTACTAGTTTGTCTCCCTTGTAGAAGGAAGTACTAGTTTGTGTCACCTGTAGAAGAAGTATTAGTTTGTCTCTCTTGTAGAAGAAAGTTAGTTTGTGTACCCTTATAGAGAAGAAGTACTAGTTTGTCTCTCCTTGTAGAAGAAAGTACTAGTTTGTGTCACCCTTATAGAAGAAGTACTAGTTTGTCTCACCCCTGAAGAAGAAAGTAATCGTTTGTGTCACCCTTGCAGAAGAAAGTAATCGTTTGTGTCACCCTTGTAAAAGAAAGTACTAGTTTGTGTCACCCTTGCAGAAGAAAGTACTAGTTTGTGTCACCCTTGTAGAAGAAGTACTAGTTTGTCTCTCCCTTGTAGAAGAAAGTACTAGTTTGTGTCACCCTTATAGAAGAAGTACTAGTTTGTCTCTCCCCTGAAGAAGAAAGTAATCGTTTGTGTCACCCTTGCAGAAGAAAGTAATCTGTCACCCTTGTAGAAGAAGTACTAGTTTGTGTGACTTTTGTAGACAATATTTGAATGAATTACTATTAGAGGAAAATATTAGTTTGAACAATACTATTAGAAGAAAGTACTTGTATAAGGGTACAAGTAGAGGGGAGCACTAATATAAGGGTGCAGGTAGAGGGAGCACTAATATAAGGGTACAGGTAGAGGGAAGCACTAATATAAGGGTACAGGTAGAGGGAAAACTAATATAAGGGTACAGGTAGAGGGAGCACTATTATAAGGGTACAGGTATAGGGAACACTAATATAAGGGTACAGGTAAAGGGAGCACTAATATAAGGGTACAGGTAAAGGGGAACACTAATATAAGGGTACAGGTAGAGGGAACACTAATATAAGGGTACAGGTAGAGGAACACTAATATAAGGGTACAGGTAGAGGGAGCACTAATATAAGGGTGCAGTGGGGAGCACTAATATAAGGGTACAGGTAGAGGGAACACTAATATAAGGGTTACAGGTAGAGGAAACACTAATATAAGGGTACAGGTAGAGGAAGCACTAATATAAGGGTACAGGTAGAGGGAGCACTAATATAAGGGTACAGGTAGAGTGAACACTAATATAAGGGTACAGGTAGAGGAACACTAATATAAGGGTACAGAGAGAACATATATAAGGGTACAGGTAGAGAGCACTAATATACTGTAAGTACAGGTAGAGGAGCACTAATATACTGTAAGGGTACAGGTAGAGGAACACTAATATAAGAGGTACAGGTAGAGAACACTAATATAAGGAGTACAGGTAGAGGGAGCACTAATATAAGGGTACAGGTAGAAGGAATAATACATGGGTACAGGTAGAGGGAACACTAATATGTACAGGTAGAACTAATATAAGATTAAAGTAGAGGGAACACTAATATAAAGGGTACAGGTAGAGGAGCACTAATATAATTCAGGTAGAGGAAGCACTAATATAAGAAGTGCAGGTAGAGAAGCACTAATATAAGGGTACAGGTAGAGGAACACTAATATAAGGGTACAGGTAGAGGAACACTAATATAAGGGTACAGGTGGGGAACACTAATATAAGGGTACAGGTAGAGGAACACTAATATAAGGGTACAAGTAGAGGAACACTAATATAAGAGGTACAGGTAGAGGAACTACTTATAGGGTACAGGTAGAGGAACACTAATATAAGAGGTACAGGTAGGAAGCACTAATATAAGGGTACAGGTAGAGGAGCACTAATATAAGGGGTAGAGTAGAACACTAATATAAGGGTACAGGTAGAGGAACACTAATATAAGGGTCACAGGTAGGAGCACTAATAAGGGTACAGGTAGAGGAGCACTAATATAAGGGTACAGGTAGAGGAGCACTAATATAAGGTACAGGTAGAGGAGCACTAATATAAGGGTACAGGTAGAGGGACACTACTATAAGGGTACAGGTAGAGGAACACTAATATAACGGTACAGGTAGAGCACTAATATAAGGTACAGGTAGAGGGAACACTAATATAAGGTTACAGGTAGAGGGAACACTAATATAAGGGTACAGGTAGAGGAACACTAATATAAGGGTACAGGTAGAGGAACACTAATATAAGGGTACAGGTAGAGGAACACTAATATAAGGGTACAGGTAGAGGAACACTAATATAAGGGTACAATTGGGAACTCTAATATAAGGGTACAAGTAGAACACTAATATAAGGGTACAGGTGGGGAACACTAATATAAGGGTACAGGTAGAGGGAACACTAATATAAGGGTACAGGTAGAACACTAATATAAATATGGGTAGAGGAACACTAATATAAGGGGTACAGGTAGAGAACACTAATAGGAGTGAGACTAATATAAGGGTACAGGTAGAGGGAACACTAATATAAGGGTACAGGTAGAGGGCACTAATATAAGGGTACAGGTAGAGGAGCACTAATATAAGGGTACAGGTAGAGGAACACTAATATAAGGGTACAGGTAGAGGACACTACTATAAGGGTACAGGTAGAGGAACACTAATATAAGGGTACAGGTAGAGGGCACTAATATAAGGGTACAGGTAGAGGAACACTAATATAAGGGTACAGGTGGGGGAACTAATATAAGGGGTACAGGTGAGGAACACTAATATAAGGGTACAGGTAGAGGAACACTAATATAAGGGTACAGGTAGAGGAACACTAATATAAGGGTACAGGTAGAGAGCACTAATATAAGGGGTAGGTAGAGGAACACTAATATGAGGTACAGGTAGAACACTAATATAAGGGTACAGGTGAACACTAATATAGGTACAGGTAGAGAGCACTAATGTAAGGGTATAGGTGGGGAGCACTAATATAAGAGTTTTAGGGGGAACACTAATAAGGTACAATGGGGGAACACTAATATAAGAGTACAGGTAGAGGAACACTAATATAAGTACAGGTGAGGCATAATAAGGGTACAGTGGGGAACACTAATAAGGGTACAGGTAGGGCACTAATATAAGGTACAGGTGAGGATCACTAATAAGATAAAGTAGAAGGAACACTAATATAAGGGTATAGGTAAGAACACTATTATAAGGGTACAGGTAGGAACACTAATATAAGGTATAGGTAGAGAGCACTATTATAAGGTACAGGTAGAAGGAACACTAATATAGGGTATAGGTAGAGGAGCACTATTATAAGGGTACAGGTAGAAGGAACACTAATATAAGGGTATAGGTGGGGGAGCACTATTATAAGGGTACAGGTAGAGGGAACACTAATATAAGGGTACAGGTAGAGGGAGCACTAATATAAGGGTACAGGTAGAGGGGACACTACTATAAGGAGACAGGTAGAGGGAACACTAATATACGGGTACAGGTAGAGGGAACACTACTATAAGGGTACAGGTAGAGGGAGCACTAATATAAGGGTACAGGTAAATTGAGCACTAATATAAGGGTACAGGTGGGGGACATATAAGTGCGTTACGCACACTGGACAAAGGGTTGATGGCGGTGACGATGGTACTGGCGGCCAGCACGGCAGCACTGGCGGCGCCAGCCTACCGCCCACCAGCTCATCATCCTGTTTGGTCACACATACACACCCGAAACCACAGGCAAGAGGAAGAACTACATTAAACTGCTGATAGTATTAAAGTAGGTAAAGGTGGTGTATCAAGGGTTTAAAGTTGAAAAATTTGTTTGGAACCCTGTGTATATAAGATGTTGGTCATGTCAACTTAAACATGCAGCTGAACTTTTGAACATGCTTAATTTCGGTGATCCAAAGGCTATCTTGACATATTTTTAGACCGATAGACGGTGTAAACGTCTTCTTTACACATACACACACACAGTTACCCAAAACAGTAATCTGCCAACTTTGAGCCAATGATAAAATCCACTAAGTTAGTACTTAACAAGGTCACAAGGAAGAACTACATTAATTTGGTAAATCGTTGGGGCACTTTTAGGCGGTAGATCACCAAGACCACATTGACTGGTAGAAGATATACCATAGGTCCAGATTCTCAAAGCTCTGTGGTTAAGGGTTAAGCACGGTTGGAGGTGTGGAAACATAAAATTGGTTCACTTAAGTTACTGCACAAGATAATGGGGATAACATCTATATTAGACTGAAAGTCTGCCAGAAATAAATGCGTTCTCTGGATAAGTAGAGGAAATTTTAATGTAGGTATCATTGAGAATCCGGACCCAGGAGCCGCCGGACATCATGCTGACATCATACCCATATAATGGGGCTCGGCAAGTTCATTGCTTGAAGTACACAATGATCACGATATCTGAGTTCTTAAAACACAACAAGCTACAAATATAAATGTTGAACTAAAAGCTCATCTCTCTGTCTTACTGTGAGATGTACATTTCAATGTTTAATGCATTATTTGGTACAGTACCCAGAGCTAGTAAGATCAGATAATGGTTCATTGGCCAGCATGCAGGACTGAGCAACACACACATTTAAACTTCATAAATATTGCTAAACTATAAGATTTATTCAGGGTATGAGAATACATGAAAATTTTGGGGAAAAGAATTTGTAAAAACCAGTCCTGCACACAGCAATACTTATTGTCCTAAACAAAATATTTAAGTTACGACTCGCCTTCACACTAGCCAACTAGGAATGTAAATATACCTACCTCGTCTGATTCGTCGAACTCATGTTGATGAATCTGTGTGCTGTAACTTGTTCCCGCTGCCGCCAGGTTTGCAACAGGGTCGTCCGCCGATGAATTTCCAACATCAAAGTCAACATTCTTCTCATGTTCACCTGCCTTCAGCGTCCGAAAGAAGGAGGTACTAGTGCCCGCTGCTTCCTCATTTACTGATACGTTATCATCCTCAGATGGTGAGTCTCCAACATAGAAGTTAATACATTTTTCCGAGCCTGGAGCCTCAGACTCCATACCAACACCTTCGCTATTATCGTTATCGTGTGGGTTACCCTCGTATTTGCCTGTCACCGCATCTTGTACATCAGTAACTGCGTTAGACACTGCGGTCCTCAGTTTTCCAAAGAGTGATGTACTTGGCGCAGCTTCCGCGACTTCCCATAGTGGTATCCACTGACTCTTCGATTTTATGCATCGTTTCAAGTGATGCCTCTTCAGCTTCATCTGTCACATTATCCATCACATCTTCAGCTCCACTGGCGGCTCTGGAAGCACTCCTGCTTCCTCTTTTAGTTCATTGACAGTTTCAGCTAGTTCCTCTGATGCCTCTCCAGCTGCACTGGCGGCTCGGAAAGCACTTCCAGCCCTCTTCAGTTCATTGACAGTTTCAGCTAGTTCCTCTGATGCCTCTCCAGCTGCACCGGCGGCTCCTGGAAGCAGCTCTTCCAGCCTTTCAGTTCGAGACAGTTTCTAGTTCATGTTTCTCCAGCTGCACTGGCGGTCTGCAACACTTCCAGCCTTCAGTTCATAGACAGTTCCTAGTTCTGATGTTCAGCTGCACCGGCGGCTCTGGGCCAGCTCTTCCAGCTTCAGTTCATAGACAGTTTCAACTAGTTCTGATGTTTCTCCAGCTGCACTGGCGGCTCTGGAAGCAACACTTCCAGCTTCCTTCAGTTCATAGACAGTTTCAGCTAGTTCCTCTGATGTTTCTCCAGCTGCACCGGCGGCTCAACAGCACTTCCAGCCTTTCTTTCAGTTCATAGACAGTTTCAACTAGTTCCTCTGATGTTCCAGCTGCACCGGCAAGGCTCCCCACCTCTTCAGTTATAGACAGTTTCAGCTGTTCCTCGATCACGCTCTGGAACACTCAGCCTTCAGTTCATCGACAGTTTAGAGTTTTCTGATGTTTCTCCAGCTGCACCGGCGGCTCGGACAGCCTTCCAGCCTCTCTTTCAGTTCATAGACAGTTTCAGCTAGTTCTTCTGATGTTTCAGCTGCACCCGGCTCTGGAAGCAACTCTTCCAGCCTCTTTCAGTTCATAGACAGTTTCAGCTAGTTCCTCTGATGTTTCTCCAGCTGCACCGCGGCTCTGGAGCAGCACTTCCAGCTTCCCTTTCAGTTCATCGACAGTTTTAGCTAGTTCCTCTGATGTTTCTCCAGCTGCACCGGCGGCTCTGGAAGCAACTCTTCCAGCTTCCTCTTTGTCTCGCAGACAGTTTCAGCTAGTTCTTCTGATGTTTCTCCAGCTGCACTGGCGGCTCTGGAAGCACTTCCAGCCTCTTTCAGTTCATCGACAGTTTTAGCCAGTTCCTGATGCCCCCAGCTGCACTGGCGGCTCTGGCAACACCTGCTCTTTCAGTTCATAGACAGTTTCAACTGTCCTCCGATGCTCTCCAGCTGCACCGGCGGCTCTGGCACTTCCAGCTTCTCAGTTCGCAAGGTTTCAGCTAGTTCGATGCCTTCCGCTGCACCGGTGGCTCTGGAAGCAGCACTTCCAGTCACCCCCAGTTCATCGACAGTTTCAGCTAGTTCCTTTGATGCGTCTCCAGCTGCATCTGTCGCATTATCACATCTTCAGCCACTGGTGGCTCAAGCAGCACTTCCAGCTTCCTTCAGTTCATAGACAGTTTCAGCTAGTTCCTGATGCTCCAGCTGCACCCGGCGGCTTCGGAAGGCACTTCCAGCTTCCACTCAGTTCATCGACAGTTTCAGCTAGTTCCTCTGATGTTTCTCCAGCTGCACGGCGGCTCTGGAAGCAACACTTCCAGCTTCCTCTTTCAGTTCATAGACAGTTTCAGCTAGTTCCTCTGATGTTTCTCCAGCTGCAGCGGCTCTGGAAGCAGCACTTCCAGCTTCCTCTTTCAGTTCATAGACAGTTTCAGCTAGTTCCTCTGATGTTTCTCAGCCTACCGGCGGCTCTGGAAGCAGCACTTCCAGCTTCCTCTTTCAGTTCATAGACAGTTTCAGCTAGTTCCTCTGATGCCTCTCCAGCTGCACCGGTGGCTCTGGAAGCAGCACTTCCAGCTTCCACTCTCAGTTCATCGACAGTTTCAGCTAGTTCCTTTGATGCGTCTCCAGCTGCATCTGTCGCATTATCCATCACATCTTCAGCTGCACTGGTGGCTCTGGAAGCAGCACTTCCAGCTTCCTCTTTCAGTTCATAGACAGTTTCAGCTAGTTCCTCTGATGTTTCTCCAGCTGCACCGCTCTGGAACCACTTCCAGCTTCGTCTTTCAGTTCATAGACAGTTTCAGCTACTTCCTCTGATGTTTCTCCAGCTGCCAGCGGCTCTGGAAGCAGCACTTCCAGCTTCGTCTTTCAGTTCATAGACAGTTTCAGCTACTTCCTCTGATGTTTCTCCAGCTGCACCGGCGGCTCTGGAAGCAACACTTCCAGCTTCTCTTTCAGTTCATAGACAGTTTCAGCTAGTTCTCTGATGTTTCTCCAGCTGCCGGCGGCTCTGGGCAGCTCTTCCAGCTTCTCTTTCAGTTCATAGACAGTTTCAGCTACTTCTCTGATGTTTCTCCAGCTGCCCGGCGGCTCTGGAAGCAGCTCTTCCAGCTTCTCTCTCAGTTCATAGACAGTTCAGCTACTTCCTCTGATGTTTCTCCAGCTGCACCGGCGGCTCTGGAAGCAGCTCTTCCAGCTCCTCTTTCAGTTCTAGACAGTTTCAGCTACTTCCTCTGATGTTTCTCCAGCTGCACCGGCGGCTCGGAAGCAGCACTTCCAGCTTCCTCTTTCAGTTCATAGACAGTTTCAGCTAGTTCCTCTGATGTTTCTCCAGCTGCACCGGCGGCTCTGGAAGCAGCTCTTCCAGCCTCTTTCAGTTCATAGACAGTTTCAGCTACTTCCTCTGATGTTCTCCAGCTGCACCGGCTCTGGAAGCAGCACTTCCAGCTTCCTCTTTCAGTTCATCGACAGTTTTAGCTAGTTCCTCTGATGTTTCTCAGCTGCACCGCGGCTCTGGAAGCAGCTCTTCCAGCTTCCTCTTTCAGTTCATAGACAGTTTCAGCTAGTTCCTCTGATGTTTCTCCAGCTGCACCGGCGGCTCTGGAAGCAGCTCTTCCAGCTTCCTCTTTCAGTTCATAGACAGTTTCAGCTAGTTCCTCTGATGTTTCTCCAGCTGCACCGGCGGCTCTGGAAGCAGCACTTCCAGCTTCCTCTTTCAGTTCATAGACAGTTTCAGCTAGTTCCTCTGATGTTTCTCCAGCTGCACCGGCGGCTCTGGAAGCAGCTCTTCCAGCTTCCTCTTTCAGTTCATAGACAGTTTCAACTAGTTCCTCTGATGTTTCTCCAGCTGCACCGGCGGCTCTGGAAGCAGCACTTCCAGCTTCCTCTTTCAGTTCATAGACAGTTTCAGCTAGTTCCTCTGATGTTTCTCCAGCTGCACCGGCGGCTCTGGAAGCAGCACTTCCAGCTTCCTCTTTCAGTTCATAGACAGTTTCAGCTAGTTCCTCTGATGTTTCTCCAGCTGCACCGGCGGCTCTGGAAGCAGCACTTCCAGCTTCCTCTTTCAGTTCATAGACAGTTTCAACTAGTTCCTCTGATGTTTCTCCAGCTGCACCGGCGGCTCTGGAAGCAGCTCTTCCAGCTTCCTCTTTCAGTTCATAGACAGTTTCAGCTAGTTCCTCTGATGTTTCTCCAGCTGCACCGGCGGCTCTGGAAGCAGCACTTCCAGCTTCCTCTTTCAGTTCATCGACAGTTTTAGCTAGTTCCTCTGATGTTTCTCCAGCTGCACCGGCGGCTCTGGAAGCAGCTCTTCCAGCTTCCTCTTTCAGTTCATAGACAGTTTCAGCTAGTTCTTCTGATGTTTCTCCAGCTGCACTGGCGGCTCTGGAAGCAGCACTTCCAGCTTCCTCTTTCAGTTCATCGACAGTTTTAGCCAGTTCCTCTGATGCCTCTCCAACTGCACTGGCGGCTCTGGAAGCATCTTTTGTGTCTTCTGTTAGTTCGTCAACAGATGCAGCTACCTCGTGTGGTTCGTTTTCTACTGTTTCTGTCATATCATCATTTAAATTTTCGCCATTGTTCGTTAAATTACCAATTACATCTTGAGCCTCGTCTCCTACCTCAGCAGCCGTGTCTCCATCCTGACTTGCAATAATTGCTCCAGTAGCTGCACCGGCTGCCCCTAAGGCAACCACGCCTCCAATTAATGCTGTAGATGGGCCACTGTCAGGAGTTTCACCCTTGTCTTCATTTTTTTTCTTTTCAGCTTCAGCCTTTTTTCCTTTTCTGATTTTTCCAATGATGGATTCACGAGATTGGCTGACTTTGTCTCGGCTCGACGACCTATTGCGACTGAGCCCTGGCAAGGTGCGACGATCGAGAGACACAGTCTTTTTCATTTTGTCTTTCGTGTCAGCTAAGAAGGAACGACGAGGTGGACGTGTTTCCCGATCTAGTGAACCAGTCTTGCTCAGCCCCTCATCTTTAGCATTCTTCCCATCCTTCTTCCTCCCAGGGAGACTCGGCTGTACCAAAGATATTGACACTTTGGTAAGGATTGTATACTTTTGCAATTAAAGCCATTGTATGTTGACACACTTATAGTTTATCATACTAAAAGAAATAGTTCTACTGCACCACTTTCTATCAGCTGACTAAACTGCATCTTAGAACAAGAATACCCAAGGAATAAGAGAGTACCTGTATCCCATGGCCAAGACACGGATATATATATATATATATATATATATATATATATATATATATATATATATATATATATATATATATATATACTTTCCATATATATATATTATATATATATATACACATATATATATATATATATATATATATATATATATACACACACACACATATATATATATATATACATATATATATACATATATATATATATATATATATATATATATATATATATATATATATATATATATATATATATATATATATATATATATATATATATATATATATATATATATATATATATAATTCAGGCAGTGATGTTATAAATTTCTTGCATCTCAGTCTACGCGACTGGTGAACAATATGAACATATGTTAATCTGTTATGCAGTTCAGTAGTTGGCCCGACCTTGTGTGTTTGATGAACAGCATCGGAAATTGTTTTCAGTAATTTAGTTTTCTCTTCTGCTATTTATTTTGCTCGGCCAAGCCTTCACCTACAGTACTGTAATGACAACGTAGAAAATGTTGATGGATGACTATTATATTTCATGTGGACATCAGTTTACTTCTCTTTCGTAGAATGTTGCTAACCTAACTTCGGTGTGCACATAGGTTCAAAGTGTATTTATATGGCTTCACTGTGCACATATTATCAGTATGCAACTAGTTCAGTATGTGCATCTACGTCTAATATGCCCTCATTGATTCAGTATACAAAGGTTCGGTGGATACAAAAGTTCAGTGAATTTATAAGTTCAGTGAATTTATAAGTTCAGTGACCATGGCTTTATTGAACACAGGTACATTGGATACATACAGTAGGTTCAATTTGTATTGTACACACAGGTTGAATTCGTAAATTGTTCAGTGTGTACACAATCATTTCTATGCAATTGTCTTCAATGAACACCCATGGGTTCATTTTATACGCAGGGTCAGTAAATGCACATATGCTCGATAGTACACGTACAGTAGTTTCAGTGTTAAAGATGGTTCAGAACATGCACACAAGTTCACTGTATCCATAGGTTCAGTATATGCTTGAAGGTTCAGTGTACACATGGGCTCAATATATGCACCTTGGTTAACTGAGTAGGCTATATAAGTTCAGTGTCACATAGATTCGTGTACACTTGTTCAATGTACACAAGTCCGGTATGCGTACTTAAGTTCAGGGTCCACTTAGGTTCAGTATATACACATAGGCCAGTGTATACAGTGTATACACATAGGTTCAGTGTACACAGGTGTAATGTTTACATAAGTTTAGTGTGCACACAGTTTTCAATGTATACCTGGGTTCAAGGTGTACACAAAGGTTATGTACATCTTGACTCAGCCATTACACTTAGATGGAGTGTGTACACATAAGTTCAGTGTACATAAAGTTTTAGATCTCTTGGATTTAGCAGAGAAATTCAGATTGTGGTGAAGTGCCAGCTGTAGAGTACAGTACACCCATGTAGGTCACTGCCACACCGCCGCTATCTACTGTATTCCCTCAAAAAAATTCATACGTTAAATCCCTTTCCTTTCGGGGTCATAACAGGGCTCAGCGGTTGATACGGTACTACTTTTGGAACGTGTGTACAGTATGTAGATACATACATACACACGTTCCAAAAGAGAAATCAAACCAATTCTGAACCCCACTAGAAAGAGAGCGTTTAGTTAAGATAGTCTCAGTGCAATTTTGACGCCATGTTGATTCACATAAAAATCTGCATGTGTACTAGTGTCTGCTTAACATTGTCTATCTTTTAGTTCACTTTAGAACGTGTGTAACTGTGAGTTCACTTTAGAACGTGTGTAACAGTTAGTTCACTTAAGAACGTGTAACTGTGAGTTCACTTTAGAGCGTGTGTAACTGTAAGTTCACTTTAGAACGTGTGTAACAGTTAGTTCACTTAAGAACGTGTAACAGTTAGTTCACTTAAGAACGTGTGTAGCTGTTAGTTCACTTGGGAACGTGTCACAGTGAGTTCACTTTAGAACGTGTGTAACAGTGAGTTCACTTTAGAACGTGTGTAAGTGATTTCACTTTAGAACGTGTGTAACTGTTAGTTCACTTAAGAACGTGTGTAACTGTTAGTTCACTTGGGAACGTGTCACAGTGAGTTCACTTTAGAACGTGTGTAACAGTGATTTCACTTTAGAACGTGTGTAACAGTGAGTTCACTTTACAACGTGTGTAACAGTGATTTCACTTTAGAACGTGTGTAACTGTTAGTTCACTTGGGAACGTGTGTAACAGTGAGTTCACTTTAGAACGTGTGTAACAGTGATTTCACTTTAGAACGTGTGTAACTGTTAGTTCACTTGGGAACGTGTGTAACTGTTAGTTCACTTGGGAACGTGTGTAACAGTGAGTTCACTTGGGAACGTGTGTAATTGTTAGTTCACTTGGGAACGTGTGTAACAGTGAGTTCACTTTAGAACGTGTGTAACAGTTAGTTCACTTAAGAACGTGCGTAAGTTTTTTTTTTGGGGGGGGGGAGGGCACCCCCCTACATCCTGTGTAAGGTGAAGCGCAGAAGCGTTTACAGCACCCAACAGGTAAGGCTGCTAAGTTTATGCTTGCCTTTATGTCCAATGAGTTAAGGGCGTAGAAGCCTGAAGAGTCAATCGTTTTTGTCATCAAGTTATTGGAAGCTCCAACAACTTTCTCTGAATACGAATTCGCAACTTTCGATTTACACCAGGTACCTACTTTACTGCTAGGTGAACAGGGACCAATTGGGGCTAGGAAGTATGTCCAAACAACTTTTCCACCGGCCCGGGAATCGACTCCGTGTGCGTAACAGTTATTTTACTTTAGAACATGTGTAACAGTGAATTCACTTTAGAACGTGTGTAACTGTTAGTTCGCTTTAGAACGTGAGTAACAGTTCAGTTTAGAACGTGTATAACTGTTAGTTCACTTTAGAACGTGTCACAGTTAGTTCACTTAAGAACGTGTGTAACAGTTCAGTTTAGAACGTGTGTAACTGTTAGTTCACTTTAGAACGTGTCACAGTTAGTTCACTTAAGAACGTGTGTAACAGTTCAGTTTAGAACGTGTGTAACTGTTAGTTCACTTTAGAACGTGTGTTTAGAACGTCAGAGTTGCACGAGATGGTACCGTATGCAGGGGCGTTCACTTGGTCCTCAACTTGGAAAATGAAATACCGTACAAATCGTTGAGACTTCTGGGGGCAGTGAGTCATTGAACCATAATGGTCGGTGATCCAGCTCTGGCAATCCGTGAGGCAGGCTTTTATCTTGTACTGTACTTCCTGATTCATTACACCGACTTAGAAGTGTGCATATTGTTTCCGCATCTCACTTTGGGAATAGTGCATGTTAATCCGTCTGAGTGTCTGTACGGATTATCTTATGAATGAGCTTCGTCTAGGTATATTGTTTGTATACCTGCACAGTCTATGCACATTGTATACCAGCATTGTCAGTATACATCTTGAACTGTATATCTGCATTGTACATGTCATGCTGAATCAATGTAAACTTGTAGACGATTTTACTGAATATCTATCTATCTATTTATCTAACTTAAATAGCTAGATACGGATTCCGATGAAGCTTGGTTTGTTGATCACCCAACAGATTCTGGGTCAATGTTTTCCGACCTTCTCTTGGAGCATTATTGCCAGTTGTATGTGTGTGTGTGTTGACGACGAGTGGCGCTTATGGGTAATTTATTTGTAAGACGGGCAAGATGGAAGGCCTAATGGAAGCAACACAGTGGAGGCTTTTAAACCGTAGACCACCACAAAGCTCAAGTTGAGAGTGTTATGATATGTAGAGTTGGGTATTGTGGAAGGTGTACAACAAAGACGAATTCGGTATAATACGTAGAGGCTGTGTTGTGGAAGTTGTACCAGAGGTGTGAACGCTCCCACAGTGGTCTTCGTTCTTCTGGTGAGTCTTCAGTTGGGTTTACTTCCACAGTACATATGGAGGAAGTTACAATTATGATATATTTGATTAACTTTCACCTTTTTTTCATATTTACTAAAGCAGAGACGTTGTTGTGATAGGTAGGGTGGTTTGCTTCATACTGTAGGCCGCTGGCAGAAAAGTACTTTGGGAAAAGCAATACCATGAACAAATGCAAAATGAAAAAAAAATGTTTATATAGAGAACAATAAGCTAGTAATATATGTGTAAATTTACTTCCAGGCCAGAAATTGTCTGCTACAACACTACTGTTAAGCTTTATGAGAAAAAATGAGATAATATTTAATGTTTTTCATGCTTCTGAGATAAAAAATTATGAGCTAAAGCTATTTTAACTAGTATCTAAATGTCCTTCTGAACCATTCTCGTCGTAGGAGATAATTGGTCAGATGGGTAGGCTAGTTTAACCATACCACAGCTAGTACAAGGTAATTTAATCGTAAGTTTAAATAATCAATATATATATATATACTACATAATTAATCTTTGGTGTAGGAAACTGCTGGACAAATTATAAGAAAAATATATATATTAATTGACAGTGAACTACAACTACTGCTAGGCTATATAACATAACTAGAAAAATGAAGTTACAGGGTGTGTGAAAATGGCGGAGATATGAAATTGAGGAAACTTTGATAAAAAAAGATGAAGAATGATAGCGAACGTAAAGCCCCGATCAACGGCGAAGAAATAACGGGTAGAGAAAAAAGTGAGTGTAGAGTTGAAGGAGGAAGAATTAGTGGAAAAGAGATCGGATTAATGCGAAATAGACGGAGAAAAAGAAAGACAGGTGTGAGGAGGAAGAAGTAGAAAAACAGGGAATGAATGCAGAAGTTAAAAAGAGAATGGATGAATGTCGTGGTGACAAAAGATGAAGTAGAGGAAGAGAAATTGGACGAGATAAAAGGCGTAAAAGAGATGTAGATGATGATACAGGATGATTATGAAAGTGGTCCACCAACCATAATGCCCCCAGTAGGTAAGCCTTTCCTGCTGGCTCGATGGGAGGAGGTAGAGTCCTGCTGGTGGTGACTGTTGCCGGAGACACGTCGACGACGGCCGGGAGGTGGTGCGTATGGTGTTGCATCTGTCAACACAAATACAGTACACGGATTACTATTGTTACCTTATCATTGTCACGTAGAAATTACTTAACATTCTCTTATCATTAGGAATTATTACGGGAAAATGATGATCTATTCTTTATCAATGACAATATTACGAGAAAATGTATATTAATTCCTTTATCAAGTTTATCACGTAGCATTATTGTGGAAATGCTGGTCATTCCTTAACTCTTAGAATTATCATGGGAACAAAAGACTCACATTTATCTTTGGGGTCTTTATGTATAAAAAGCATATAATTTTATAACTATTTCAGGGGAAAAATTGCTTATAGTTTCCATACCTTTAATTTAATTGTCTGTGGAAATGTTACCAGTTCGTTATTTTGTTATTAATTGAAGTAATTGTAGAAAAAATAACTTCTGTATATTAATTGCTATAACTAAATTCAATTAAATTTTATTTTCTTCAGTAATATTGTTTTCTGTTATGTGCGACCACACACACACACACACACACACACACACACATAACATCATCACCACTTGCAGTGTTGCCATTCGAGCGTGTAGAGGACGACGCCATGGACATGTTTGCCAGACTTGACGTGGTCATGGCGTACCTCACGGCATGATGGCAGAGTTGGCAGGTTATCAAAGAACTCTCCCAAGCGAAAGTTATTATATAAATACCAGATGTCAGATCCTAAAAGGCTACTATGATGAATATTTTTCGTTAGGTACCACATATTGGTAACATCCAAAAATAATACCAAAATTACACCAAGGCTCGACCGTGCATAATGTATTGTCTTTGGAAGCACAATGTATTGTCTAATGGTAGACCCTGCTGCCATATGGCATCACGAAAATTGTGACCAAGTCCCAGGTTGCTGACCTGACTGACTGTTTGACTCATTTACACAATTGCAGGGTCTCAATTGTTTCTCTACTACTGACAACACAACATACATATATCGTTTCTCACTTTTGATTTTTTTTTCATTTTTGTATTTTTATGGTTCTTTATTATTATTATTATTATTATTATTATTATTAGTAGTAGTAGTAGTAGTAGTAGTAGTAGTAGTAGTAGTAGTAGTAGTATTAGTATTTTATTTTTAAATTTGTATTTTTTATTATAAATTTTATTTGCTTTTTTAGCAACATTTTGCTATTTATAATTAAAAAAAGGGAAAATATTTATTTTTCCACGAAAAAGGAGCGAAATCGTGGTGAAAAGGGAAAACATTTTCCTTTATTAATGAAATAGGAACGAAATCGTGGCGAAAATGGCAAACATTTCCCATTTTTTACGAAAAAGTAGCGAGATCTTGGCGAAAACGGCAACTATTTTCCATTTTTGACGAAAAACTAGCTAAAATTGATGAAAAAAAATATTCCTTTCTGACGAAAAAAGTAGCAAAATCTTAAGAAAATAAATATTTTCTTTTTACGAAAAAGTAGCAAAATATCACCGAAAATAGCTAACATTATTATAATGACAAAATAGCAAAATATTGCCCACAAAAGCAAACATTTCCTTTGGTAATGAAAAAATAGCAAAATGTTACCCCAAAAAGAAAACACTTTCTTTTGTTAAGGAAAAAATAGCCAAATTTTGCCCCCCCCCCCAAAAAAGCAAACATAACTGCCAGACGCATGATACATCTACAGTACTTCTATACCAGAATTAAACAATTTCATCAATTTTTTATAAAAAGATTCAGTTAGAATGTTGTCTTAATTTTATATGTACACAATTTTCATAAGAATAATACACCTAAACTTAGTTGAAAATCATAGCAGGTTAGGAACTGTATGCTTTTTTACGCATTTAGCGCCCGTGCTACACTGAAATTTGGGCTGCAAGCCGCCGCTAAGCCTGCGATCTCTGTAGTCCAGTCACTAGTGATCTGTTGGATACGCATGGTGGCGGGGTATAATAGTAGCGCTTTCGGCTTTACCATATGTAGAACTTTTGGTAAAAAAATTTCCAAAGTATACTCGTAATTTTCCCAGCAATGAACTTGAACAAGCAGTTGAAGCTTATTCTATGCTTGAAAAGGACAAATTTAGAACTGAACTTTGTGCACTCTATAGAAGAGAAGATTTGTGTAAATCAGTCTCATGCATTTGTTAGAAATTATTGATGAAAGCTATCTACAGTCAACATTATAAAGACAATGATAACGACACCATGGTGAATGACAGATTATCTGCTTTAGCAATGACATCCATTGAATATAAAATGATCACAGAAACAAAAGGACTTTAGTGAAAAAGTAACTCATCACTTTGCTACACCAAAGAGCCCCCCGCATGGAGTTTATTTTCAAGCAATGCCCAGGCCTCAGAGTATTCACGGCATGAACTCACAAACTGGACCCTAAGGTAATTTTTTTTTCTGTGGCATTTTTTTTATTTGCAGTCCCTCTTATGCATTTTATCACGAGCCGCCGCTGGCTGACCAATACCATACACCTTATTGATATCTTCCACAATATAATACACATGTACATTACACTCACGCGCCATAGTTTCGATGCACCCTCTACCCTACTCCTGATTCAATGGAAGTCGTAGCCTTGGCTTCATACCGAATGTCTCCCCCTTCTCCATCACCCCCCCCACCCATCGTTCAGTGGTGCAATGTGGTAGCTCGAAGCTTCGCTGGATTGTACGAATAACAGCTCATGATGTAATATTTGAAAGAATATATGCACGATACAGGTTTTGTAGTGACTCACAAGACTTTATTTACCATCACTATACTTAACATCACTATACAAGAGGGACCGTTCGGTTTGCAGCCCTGACTTCGACTTCCCTCGAGCCATGAGTAAGGGTAGAGGGTGCATCGAAACTATGGCGCGTGAATGTACCATAGTATTCGCCGTCACTATCCTAAACACCAACCTTCCATAATACTATTAATGTATCACCAAACATAACTAGCAAACACAACAGTCAGAATCACCAGGAAACACAAAACCACCAGCGGTCACCAAGAAGCAGTGAAAATTACCATCTGTCAGGCCCCCAATACGTCACACCCACCAGCTGTTGTCAAACCACAGCACATCTGCTACACCACACACTGACACCTTCCCGACACCATGCTCTCTCTCTCTCGCTCTCTCTCTCTCTCTAATGCGGTAATAAAGTCATCATATAAAAAATACTAGAAAGCCATTGCTGAAATATGTACGCTAGATCAAAACAAGCCACCGAATGAGAAAGCCATCCCTCGTATCCTGGCGTGGCGCTGGATTGCATACATGTTAGCGTGCGATACATATTATGAGATCTTATGCTCAGATTACATAATTTCCGTGGCTTTTTGACCTAAAGTATATATTTTCATTAATGTTATTGTTATTGCTATTATTATTCGTGTTATGACTATTATTATTCGTGTTATTACTGCGATTAGTGTTATTACCGCTGTTATTCGTGTTATTCCTGCTATTATTAGTGTTGTTACTGCTATTATTAATTACCGCTGTTATTCGTGTTATTACCGCTGTTATTCGTGTTATTATCGCTGTTATTCGTGTTATTACTGCTATTATTAGTGTTTTTACTGCCATTATTTGTGTTAATACCACTGTTATTTGTGTTATTATTGCTATTATTCGTATTAATTATCACTACTATTAATCGTGTAATGACTGCTAATATTAGTGTTGTTGTTAATGCTAGTATTGTCATTGTTACTATTACTATTGTTTATTACTATTGTTGTTATGATATAGAGAAGTTGAAGTTGGTGTGTGGTTGGACGTACTGTACTGTACATAGGGTAATGGTCTAATGAGTGACGGTATATAGGTGAGTGTGGTACATACAGGAGGTAGGGCTCGACGGTATATAAGGGGGGTATAGGGGTAGTTGTGGTACATAGGTGAGAGTGGATCTATGAGTGACGGTGACGCCTGTAGATGAAAGGGGTGCAATTTGGCCAAGTGTTCACGGCCGAGGTAAATATAGGTATTCCCTGCGTCACGTTGAAGACCTTCTCCCCCCCCTCCCTCACCACCACCACCACCATCATTACTACTGTCAACACTACCAACATACCATCATTTTCACCACCACTGTCGTCACCAACATCAACGCCATCATCATTAATATCGTCAACAACATCACCAAATCACCACCATCACTACAGACATCACCACCATTACCACCATCGCCAACATCAACACCACCACTGCAGCCTCCCCTCACCACCACCACCACCATCATCATTGGTTTATCACTAATCTTTAATGCCACTGTTGAGTTCCAGGTGTGAGACTTGGGGATTGATTAATAAATTGACGCAAAATCTTAAGATAACTCAAACGAACATGAACAGGTGTGTGCCAGGAATAACTGCAAGTAGCGGAAAGGGGACGAAGCTGTTAGTTGTCACATTGGAGATATTGCAAGAAAGGTTAAGTGGCGGCGTGACTCACATACTGCAAGAAAAACAAATTGACAAGGGAGCAAATGAAGTCCTCGACTGTATCCCAAGAGATAGGAAGAGGCAAAGAAAAAAATCTATAAAAGAATTAAAAGTTAAGAAGTGTTATACCCATAATAATGTGCTGTTTGGTTTACTATTTACACCTTAACTAGAGACGATCGTTTAGTCGGGTGATGTCTTGATATGCGGGCGATAGTTATGAATACTAAGGAACATCGGAGCTCAATCACGAGCTTTCCAAAGGTTGTTTTATATTTGTAAGAAATACCAGAATGACACGAAAATTTTACCTAGCCATTATAAGTGTAAAGAGGAATGTGAAAAAAAAAATATGAAGGACATTGATAATGTGATTTGGCGGTCGATCAATTCTTTGTTACACATTGTTGACAAGTTCTGGGCGTGTTACAGTACTTTCTATGCCAGATGATTAAGAAGACTGGTTATTGCACATTAACCCCTTTACTACGAGGACGCCAGTTTTTTAAATTGTGTTTGGGTAAAACAGACGATTTTGTTCAGCACAGAGGGGACCCCGTACATAAGT